TTGTCAAAAGCCTAGCTGCAGCGTTTTGCACAACCTGCAGACGATCCAGAGAACCTTATGCTTAGACACGTAACCAGTGAGTTACAATAGTCCAAGCATGAGGAAATAAATGCATGTATAGCAATCTCCAGGTCAGAGCGAGACATGGACATCACAAATGAAAAATATGGTTCATATTTGGGATCATTGGCCTGTTGAAACATCCAATTGTGTCCACGTTTCAACCGTCTAACTGCCGATTTGAGGTGAAGTTGAAACATTTGGAGACAACATTTCTCCTTCTTCATTACTCCATCCACTTTATGCAATGTACCAGTACTGGCTGCAAAACAGTCCTAGAACATGACGCTACTACCAGCATGCTTGACAGCTAGTACAATGTTATTAGCTTTGAAAGCTTCAGCTTTACTCCTCCAAACATATCTTTTGTCATCATGACAGAATAGTTCAGTCTCTCTTTCAACCTTTCTCTAGAAAGCATTTGACTTGTCCGTGTGGTCAGCCTCAAATTTCAGTTGAGCGTGAAACTGTCAGTTTTGGAGCCGGGGCTTTTTTCTTGGTGGGCAACCTTTCAGTCTATGCTGATGTGAAACTTACTTTAATGTCAACAGTAATGTTGGTGTGGCAGCAGTTTCTAGTGCATGACAGGCCTGAGCCTTAGTGGTTAAAGGGTTGTTCCTGAATCTGAATCAACTTGTACTTAAAGTACAATTGTTTGAACTGATGAACTGATGATCCAGGAATCTGGAGTTGTAAAGAAACGGTTCCAAGAGACTTCGCCAACATGTGAAAATCTACAGTTCTCCTTCTTGGATCTTAGATCCTTGGACTTTCCCATTGTTCTGTGTACTGGTCAATCCAATGAGTGCTCTCAAACAAATCATTTTTATGCTGACAAAGAGAAAGTACCAGTTGTATTCAATCATCATCACTAATGAGATGTTACTAAGCCTTTGTCTTGCCCAGTTTAAAGACATTGTAGAATCTTTTGACCCTGTGTATTACAGAAAACCCAAAATAAATTCAAACTTGTGCACCTAGTTCATGTTTTTTTAAGTCATTACAGAGTCAACATTCATGCCCATACTGTATGTAAACTTCTGACCACAACTGTAAATAAAACTGAATTGAACTCATTGGGAAAGTGGGTCCATAAAGAGACTACCTACTGAGGAAAGTCAGCCAAATTCAAATTAGGTATGGATGTGAAATGAAAAAGGCGTATCAGCAATAAATAAATAAATAAATAAAAAGCATATTTTTGCAGACCCCTGTAGGCCATTCAAAGAGAGCAGTAGAAGTAGTTGGACTCATGTACAGCGGTCACTCGCTATAACGTGGCTCAACTTTTGCAGCTTGTCTGTTTCACTGATTTTTTTTGTGCAATTTTGCATGGTTTTTTGTTTGTTTGTTTGGGGTTTTGTTGTCTTTTACAGCGCATTGTGTTCTGCATCCTGACTGGCTGTAGACCATTGTCAATCGATCTCGTGCCGTGTCTCCTATGCAGTACAGAATTCGTTCAGCTTTTCAAATTTACATGAATCTTCAATTGCTAGCAGTGTGACTCCGAAGTGCTGTACTGTATGTTTGTAGGTTCCCCCCAACAAAACACAACAATTTTGACGAAACATTTTACACCGTCAAAAGCAACCGCGGGTGCCTTTGGTTTCATTCTATAATACTGTACCTATTTTTCTATGAAGGTTTGAACTTGTTTAAACAAGAAAGAAACGTGTGGAAATGTTCATGCCTGTCTGAGAAAAGTGTGTAAAGTGTGTAGTGAGGGGTTTCACAGCCTTAAAACATCTATACTAATTGTAAAAAATTAAGTTGTCTACTTTGTGGATTTCACCTATCGTGAGTTATTTTTAGAATGTAACTCCCGCGATAAACAAGGGACCACTGTAGTCCAAAAAGTAGGTTAATTCTATTTTAATCATCTTTGTTATTAGCTACAGACTTTTCTTTACTAAGTTGTAAACACTGTGAAGCCATATTTCTATCAAGGATGCTTTGGTTGACACTGTCAAAAACCTTTGACAAGTCTAATAATAAACCAAGACTGTAGAGATCTCATGAACAAGCTGCAAATTCTTCTTTGTGTATCTCAGTGTCTTTCTCTATCCTCCCTTCCTGACCGTTCTCCACCCCCACCAACTACAAATCCTTCCAGCATGTTGTCCTCACCACCTCACTCCTCCCTTTCCCATTCTTCTACAATGCTGGAAAGTGCTGACGAGAGGGTAACTCAATAGAGAGGCGAAATCTAAGAGTGTCTCAGGACAGAACAGAGGGTCAGCGCAGGACATGAAGGAACAGAGAGTCGCATTTTATTTTCCCTTTTTATGCTTGGTAGTCTTTTAAATTTAAAATGTTTACATTTTTTGTTGCTATTTTTGTTCTTTAATTAGTAACGGGTTTTTTAACAATACTATTAGTCACAGTGTCAGCTGCAGTTGAATATGTCATAACATTACTACATTTTGTGCCTGAATTTTACACTGGAAACCATGGCAGACATTACTATTACTAACAGCCAACAGTAAAATCTAACCATGGAGGTGTTCGATTATTAAAACCTGTAATTAGCAAGTCATTATTAAGGCTTAAAATGTGCTGTAATTTCCAGCTTTCTCTTCCACACAAAATTTGCAGGGAATGAATATTTGATGTTGAAAGCCTAATACCTTGGCAGTGTGGTATAATCAACCATGAACTCCCAGGGATGAAATCTCATTTAATGCTCATAATGAAAATCTCTGCAGTAAAAAACAAAACAAAAAAACCCTTCGTATTTTTAACTGGCTGCCGTTTTATTACAACTAAAGTATCTTACTGACTTTTCTTTTCTTTCATAGATGCACTACTACAAATAAATTTCTCTGTTGGCCTTGACTAACTGGGTGCAAGGTGGCCTACTAAATCACTCAGCAAAAGATAAGCGAACCAAAGGGAGAAAAAGGGAGAACAAAAAAGGCACAAAGTTAACAACCTATACAGACAGAGACTGATAAGCACAGATGTATGGTGTAGGAAGATATGGACAGAGAAATTAGATATAAAAAATAGGACGATGTTAAGATGAAAGGACAGATAGGGAGAGAAAAAGTTGAGGGGAAAGTTTCTCTTGGATAAAAGATGGAAAGAACAGACTTCTTCAGCATAACTTTGCCTTGGATGAGTTAGAAATCCTAGCAAATCAAAAAAAATTAAATGCATTTCTTTGGCACAATTCATACAGTGGAATTCATTTGAATGCATTCATAAAATGCAAGAATAAGTTATGAATCCAATATAAAGCAATTTAGGAAGGTGTTGGGACACCTCGTGCTGCCAGCACAGCCATAGTGTTCCTTGGTGTTGATCATTATTTTAAGTAGCTTTTACTTATAAAAACTGAATTTTAGTGTCTGCTCTTAATCACTCTGAATTACATTAGGCAGTGAGTACTGCAAAGCTCTGTATAACAAAGGTATCTTGTACACTGAACTTATACTGTGCTATTTACAAATCTTGAGCCACCAATCTATCCTTTATATTTTCCTTCCAAAGAGCCAGACTCAGAGTTGCATCTACAGACAACAGAGAACTTAGCAAAAGACAGTTAAAGAAAGTGTATCTTAAGGCAGCAGTCCCCAACCTTTTTTGCGCCACGGACTATTTTATGTCTGACAATATTTTCACAGACAAAGGATAAATACAACAAAATAAAACCTGACCGGTACCAAAAAAAGAAGATTTATTCATAACACACAGGAAAAGACCCAGGGAAACTAAATTAACGATAAAAACGATGCAAAATAACGATAAAAACCAATAAAAACCCTGAAAACTATAAATGTCATGCCCGAGCCTCAACTCTCGTGGCCCGGTACCAAACGACTCACGGACCGGTCCAGGGGTTGGGGACTGCTGTCTTAAGGCTCTCTGTTATTGGTAGCATGTTCCAAAAGTACATAATTTGCTCTCAAATTATGCTCTCTTCTGTTTTTTTCTGAATATACCAAATAGCCAAGAATTGAACAAGTGATGGACAAAGAAGACGTGGCAGTCTTAAAAATAATCTACAGCAGATAAACACCATCTGAAAGCCATGTCCTTAAGAAAAAGGTAAAAATCCAATTCAAAAATCTGGCTTTTAGGAAAAGATCCATCTGCGGTTCACTGAAACGTAATCAAAAATTGTCTCAATCAAAGAGTCAAGAAGTCGTTCTCAAGAAAGGGAACGGGGAGAAAGGGCTGAGGAATGCCAAACTGAAAATCAGTGCCAGCAGGTCTGATGGACCACTGCATCTGAATTTGACCTTTCTGGTTCAAATCTTTATTAATATACATATGAAGATGTGAGGTAAGAAGTGAGGTACAACAGAGACCATGTGCAGCTATCTGTAAAACACGGTGGAGGCTCTGTCATGGTTTTGGGTTGAGCGTTGGACATCTTGTCAACACTGTGTGTAATGATGAACACAGAAAAGTATCAGAGTTGGATCCCCCATGAAATACTGTCTGATTGGTTGTAGTATCATTTATTTGCCTGACATACTGTATTCCCATATATGTTTCCTTGATTTTCAACAAACAGCTACACCTACTCCCCATTTTCCTAACAAAATATAAAGAAACTGGACTTCACACAGTGCTACATGTGCAACTCCTTGATGGCATTTTCTAAAAGTAGTTGTAACTACAGCCTCTCATAACATGGCCAAGCCAGTGCTATTAGTTATACTGAGTGTGAGAGACAGGACCAAATGTATTGACAGACGCACAGATCAAGACAGAAGATGTGGGTAAGGTCCAAACAAGACAGATAAAGTGGTATTATTACCAGTCCCGTGTGTGATATGGTAGTGCTGCACAGAAAACAGAAAACGATCACACTCTCAGGCCAACAGTGCTTGCGTCATATCTTGACACCCCCCCTCCTCCCCCCCTCTGAAAATAGAGTATAATGAGAGGTGGGCATGTTGGGTGTATGGGGTAAGTGTGTATGTGTTTGGAAGCAGCTATAAAAGTCATATTGTGTCGTCCCCCCCTTCATCTTGCTCATCTTACCTCCATCTCCTGCCCTTCTGTCTTCTCTCTGCTCCAATTCCTCTCCATCACCTTTTGTTTTGCCTTATTTCTCAGCTGCAATCATCCACCCCTTTATTCAGGTAAGACAGAAAATAAATAAACACACACACAAACATTTACAGGTGCAAGAGACCACACATAGGACACTGGAAGCTGAAGATTTAACTGCAATTTTTTTCGGGGATTATCTGTGACAAGCAGAGAGACTTCAGCTAAGTGAAATAGTTGTAAATTACCAAGATATGAATGACACATGGGGATAAACTGTTTGTAGCTGCAGGATGTGCATCGGGGGTGTGTTTGTGTAAGCCTGAGGGCGAACGCTCCGCTAGAAACTCGACTAAGAAAATCAATCAGGAGCACCATTGATTCAGGATTTGCGAGGCCTATGAAAGACAACTTGATAAAGTGAAAAGGTCCAGTCGATAAAGTCATACAGTATTAGAGTGCCAAAGAAGAATAACAAGCTATGTAAATATATCCTTTTGAAATCAATTCACAAATTGTTAAATATGGGGATGTTTGGTGGTTTCAGTTTGGTTTTCGCTCCTCTGCAGTAGCTTGTTTGAAATAAAAGGTAATGTTAGCAGCAGGTGTTGGTCTCGTGGGTGTTTCCTTGCTCAGGTTTCACCAAGAACAGGTGTCAGTGGCACAGCAGCTGTGTGCTTAAGTAAGTACAGTAGCTAATGTCTGCTGTAGATGATTTTAGGTGTTGTTGGTATTCTGAAAAGAGGACTTAAATAAGAGACGCTTCACTGAACAATACACTTTTCTGTGCCATGACTCAGAACTTTAACTGGCAGATATTTATATGTGCTTTAGGGTATTATGCTGATCTGCTTTTCAAATCATTAACGCCACCAGAAAAACATAAAAATAAAAAAGTTAAGTTGCTGGTTAGAACTGTATCCACTTTTCTAAAGAAACACGACTTATTTATAGCACACACGCAGGCAAGAGTGGCTTTCAATCCTCAGTGAAGGTCTGTTATGTTATGATACTAAAATATAACCCCGCATATCCATCACAGCATGCACATCCTTCACTGCAAGTTAAATAAAGTCACCGAGTGTCATTCATAATATGTGAGCAGAAACGTTGTCACTCTGCACACTGAAATAAGTGGGCGCACACAATTACCCACCCCATAAGGAAACCCAGTTACCTCAGGCTCTGTATGTGTACTTTTTTGTATCACCGTTCAGCCTATCAGAATGCTATTCAATATATTATACATATATATTATATATTATCCTTCATGTTATTTTGAGCATTTTTGTTCTTGTTCTTTTAGAGACATACACATAATATCTGAAATGAAATTATTATGATTATCACAACTACTACAACTATTATTATTGATGAAAAATGTGTGTTTAAACTTTAAAAGATAGCCAGGCCTTCTTCGTTTGTCTCTTTGTGTCGGATTTGAGTGTGAAACAGTTCATACATGTGGTTTAAACACAGATTTATGTGACTGAGGCCCAGTTTGTCTGCATTACAAGTGACATCACGTTTGAGGGCACTGTCATGGAAAAAGAAAGCGCACATGCTCGTGAACACTTGTTGCAAAGTTCATGAACAGTGGGACAAAACCTGTGAATTTTACGATGGGCTGAAAGAACGTCAGTTATGTCATCTGAATGTTTAGTTTTGTGTTTTACAAAATACAAAACACAAAATCTGACAAGATCCACAACAACTAACTGGAACCGTATGACTGCTGATATAGGTAATAAAAACAACTGTGGCACGTTCCCAAAAGCAAAAAATGTTATCACTGAGATGGCTTCATTGCATCAACGCTTTCTATTTGCATCATCTTATTGACAGGGAAAAAAATCTGCACATCTCAAGACATTTCACAAACCACAAACAGATGCTCACTAATTGGTTTTTGCTGCCAAAAACAGACACATAACAGGTGTGGTGACAGTTGAGAAGCTGATTGGACAGAAAGCAAGAGGATGACAATGAATTTTTACTTTTATCATTCTGTCCTTTGGACAGGAAGGCCTGGGATTTTCCAGGGGTCAGGATAGTGCAATCTGCACAGGGACTACTGACATGACCCCGGTGGGGCTTTGCAAGTCTCTCAGCACACGTATCCTGACTGTGAGACATATACTCTTACATACTCAGGAGCTCACATCTCTTAAAGACACAAAACCCACTCATCAAACATCTATCTTGACAACTCAGTACTTGATCCCAGAGCTCTGAAATGTCAGGACTCTGGGATCAGCTCAGGTGTGACACCTACAGGCTAAAGTCATGTACTGCAGCTAAGAGCACACTGATCACAAAATAGAACCGAGCAAGCGGATGAGACATGAAACACAACAGGTTACACATTTGTACTGAGCACACGCAGCTCTACAGCACACTTTGTGTTATTCAGCTATAAAGTGGTGTGTATTTCACAATGACTGGACAGGTTTCTTAGGTTTAATAAAGTTATTTTACAAACTAATGGAATTTTCTTTATATGTCAAAGCAAGGAATCAAAATCATTTCACATTGTGGGCCACATATTGGATCTTAAACTCCCCTTTTAGTCAGTATAAAGAATTTTAACTACATATAAATAAGTGCAATTTCATGATAAGCTGCTGGGCTTAAAATGTAAGAACTAAATGTTTTAAAATTATCAACTGTCATGTAATTATAAGACAGAGATTGGAGTCACTGGCAGGCCACTTCTGGTCCCTGGGCCTTATGTTTGACACTGCTGGATTAAAGTGTGGAAAACATCTGCATCAACTGAGGGTAACTAGTTGCACTGTGACTCTGTGACACATGACACAGAGAACAGAAGACATTTCAATTAATAACATACAATTTAATGCCTAATTCTAATTAAAAAAGGCTCTTTTCACACCATAAATTCCATCAGAGTTTATCATGCAATGACTACTTTAACTGTAAAATATACCATGTACTTTAACTGATGTCAAAGTACTGTTTGACAAACTCAGCTTCGCTGTTTCACACGTTCTATTTGTCAAAATTGTAGTCAAAGAAAAAAATTGCAGGAAAGTCTCTCCTCAGAAGTGCTTAAATCCCTCCGACAGAGTGATACTTTTAAGATAACGGAGAATCCAGAGCAATTCTGGGTGCTTATTTCAGTGTACAAAGCTTGTCTCTCTCCATGGGCGTTTGCCAGACTGTATTTATGTCTCTGTCTTAAATTCTAACGTATGTCCTTCAATTAACCTCTCGTTGTGCCAAGTTCCACAGAGGCCATCTCTCGAATGCCTTAAAGATATTCCTACCAGCCCAATCAGGGTTGAAATTCTCCTTGGGTTTGTTGGCATGGATAATCTTCTCTTAATTTACTGTTCTGTAAAATGCAACATCTGTCTAACTAAAAATACATTTCCAAACACATGTGCACATAACGAGTTAGATTTTACTTTCAGCTTTCGTATCAGATCAGCTCAGCTGCAGAGCTGCTGCTCACTCACCTCTTTGAAATGCAATACCAAACTTTGTGCCTTTCATGTCCTCTCTGTCTCTCTCTCCAGGAAACAAAATGGTTATGACAGATCTGCTAAAACCTGAGGAGATCAAGAAAGCTCTTGATGCCTTCGCAGGTCAGTAACTGTTGTAGAGGCTCTGTGTTATTCTCAGCAGCGCTGCAAAGTGCCAAAAGTTGGCCTTAAATTTTTTGCTGACCCATAAAAAATCTGTTTTTAAAAAAAATCTGTGCACATGGAGTTGATATAATAAAATCTTTTATCTTTGCCTTGTCTTTTGTAGCAGAAACATTTGACCCTAAAAAGTTCTTTGAAATGGTGGGAATGAAGGCCATGTCGGCTGAAAACGTCAAGAAGGTCTTTCAGGTTCTGGATGTGGATGGTAGCGGATTTATAGAAGAAGAAGAGCTAAAGTAAGAAACTCAAACAGATGCAAAAACACGCTAAAAGCAGACATGATGAAAGATACAGCTCTGCAATATAACGCTGATGTCACATGTTCCTTAAAGCTGCCCTACAGTGACCCACTTTCTGCATCAACCTGCACTTTTCTCAGGTTTGTACTGAAGGGCTTTTCCAAGGATGGCAGAGATCTGACTGACGCTGAGACTAAAGCATTTCTCACAGCTGCAGACAAAGATGGAGATGGCAAGATCGGCATTGATGGTAAGAGAAAGGTGTCAAAATGTTTTCAGTTTATTCTTCAAAAAGATACAAAGAGGCGATGAGAGTAGGATGAGGACGGGGTGGGAGGAGAGCTAGCAAGTAGGCTTTCTGCACTTCCACAAATGCTGTATGTTGTGTGGGATTTTTCAGATTTTACCAAAATGTTTCTAATACTTGATTCTTATGGTTCACATCTAGTGAAAAACTGAATATGACCGAAGCAAATTTGCAAGTTTGCAAGAAAAGATACACTGAGAAAAAAATGTAATGTCACCTGTGCAAGCTAACACCAACTTTTAAATATCGAATTTGTTTACTGGAATAAACATGCCATAAACTAAATCTGCCAATTAATCTTTGGTTTTTTTTAACATAATCATAAAAACACAATATCTGAAATGTTAGCTATGGTAACACCATTCAGCGACTTCAAGGGATGACAGGTGGAATGAATGCTTGTGCTTGGTGTATAAGGAATCCCATAAAATACACCAAAGTGTGGCTGGGCCAGATAGTGAACCTCCTGATGTGTACATTAGCGTGTGAATGTTAAATAGAAAGCAACTGGGCATAAAAAAGTGCAAGAATGAATGGGTGAGTGAGAAATGTTGGATAACTTGCTTTGCAGAAAACCAGAGCAACAGTGTGGCCTGTTGATGTATTAAAGGTGAAAGATTTGTTTTATGATATAGAAGCTTTGGTCCAGAGGAAAAACACAGTTCAAGGTTCCAGACACCATGAAATACTTGGATCAGTTTCTTGTTGGTGTTTAACTGAATATGGTGATAATGTTTCACTGCGCATTTACATTTTTGTTTTGCTCTCTTTTTTTTCCAGAGTTTGAAGCCTTAGTGCATGAGTAGGGGAAAGCTGAACTCCCCTCTTGTTCTTCCTGCTCCTCGTTGTCCCTGCATCCACATTTTGTAACTGCGACCTCCAAACTCTTCCTCCCTTTCCTCGCTCTGGACCCCTCACACGGAGTCAGACCAGGCCTGCTCTCTGCAAAACACTACCAAAAACAGGCCAACAGGGAGTCCACCTGAGGAGGAACATACAGGCATAACAGGCACCAGTTTCACTTTTCATTTTTCTTTTTATATATATAGATAGATATATATATATTTAACCACACATGCTGTATGGATTTCAGAAGCATTCTTAATGATTTCGCGAGGATAGTCTGTGGTCAAAAAAGGTGGTACTAGTGTTGTAGATGGTGTAGATGTTCTCAAGACTCCTTAAATCTTAATTTCCTTCCTGCATTGCGTCTTGACTGGTTTTATTTCTAGATGTTCACATGTCAGTGCACTTTCCTCCCACTCCTCCTCTTTATCCACCTTCATTCACCTCCCTCACCTCAACCACCTCCTCCTTCTCCACCTCCTCCTCCACCCCCTGCCTCTGATCAGATCATGTAGTAAATAAAATCATATAAGGAGAGCTGTGAAGAGAGAAAAGATCTCAGTATGAAATGATAATAAAAAAGAAAACTTGACGTGAGGTGTCTCTTTACTTATTGTTACTCGCAGTGAACACACAACATTGAACTCACACAAATACAACACACTGAACATCGCAAAACAGGTCAATCACTGGGATGGTGGAGAGCTTAAGCTTAACATTTTGGGAAACATGCCTTCTTTCTCAGGTTGCTTGCTCACACACACATATAAATATTTTGCCAACAGCCAGGTTTCATAGTAAAGAGACTGAAGACGTGGTGCTGACACATGAATAAGATGCTGTAGAAAACAGCGCAGCATCAGTGTTTTCTTCAAATTTCTGGCAACAAGCATACTTCCAAAAATGTTTAAATATTCTCTGAATATTTTTACCAACAGACTCAAACAAATATTAACATACAAACTCAAATTGCTGTACAAAGGTTTGTTAAAATAACCATTTTAGTTTAGTTCAGTCAGGGAGGATGGCTGATTTGGACATTGTAGCAATTTATGTTTGGCGTCACATCACTATGGAGCAACAGGATCCTGGTACAGAACAGAGTGAACATTAATAACAAGAGATACAGACAGAAAGAAGGCCATGGGGTGGAGGCGGGTTGCAAAGTGGCTTGCAAGCCTGCAGCAAAACTCTTCTGGTCCTTTGTAGGTTTTAACATAAAATAAGTACAGTTCGTCATGTGTAACAAAACATGACATATTACACCTTTCTATTATTTATGTAACAAAAACTAAACCAAAATACTGAAGCAGTGTCTGAAAACAAAGCACATCACATGATTCCATAGAACCACCTTTAGCAGCGTGAAGCAATTGTGTGACATTATCAGCCAACATTGTTGTGGAGGAACTTTGATCCACTCTTCTTTGTAACGCTGCCTGAGTTTATTGAGATTTGTGAGCTTTAATTTATGCATAGTTCTCTGAAGGTCCGATCGCAGAATTTCAGGTTGAGGTCTGTGCTTTGACTGAGGAGTTCAAGGTTGACTGTAAGGTTTCCAGGTCCTGTGGCTGCAAAACAAGCCCAAAGCATCACTCCGTCACCACTGTGCCGTTGGTAGGAGGGTTTTGTGTCAATATGCTGTTTGGTTTTCTCCAAACCTACTGCTGTGCATTATGGTCAACCACCTCCACTCGTTGTTCCCAAAGTCTTGAGTCTTGTGCAGATGTAACTTTGCATATCTAAGCTCTGCTGCAATATTTTATTTTTAGAGAGAAGAGGCTTTCTTCTGGCAACCATTCTATATAAGCCATATCTGTCCAGTCTTTTTCTAATTGTACTGTCAAGAACTTTACAATTTAGCATGCTAACTGAGGCTTGTAGATGTAGCTCTGTGCTTTTTGGTAATTGTGTGAGCTCTGCAAAGTCTGACTTTGGGGTGAATTTCCTGGGGCATCCCCTCCTAAGAGGTTTGTAGCATTGTGTTCTGCTATATAGTGGTGGTAACACCAGCTGATGATTAGTTAATCAAGTCAATCTGACCAGCAGCGACTAGCTGCTACATACGCTCTTAATTAAAGTACCTGTGTGCTTAGTTTTTCACATTTTTCTGTAGCTTTGCTTAATTTTTGTTAAAGAAATTATGACACAGAGTAATATGTCATGTTTTGTAGTTCAACTGGGCTGTATTTAGCTAGTTTTAAAACCTAGAAAGGTCCAGATTAGTTTTACTCTGTCCTGATATATAAAACCTTACAATTTACCATAACTGTGGATTGATAAGTTCATAGTAGGAAGTTTTTACAACTAAAAATTAGTCACTCAAAGTTTAATCAGTGTTCCTTATATAAAATTATGAAAGGGATGTCGATGAGCTAATGTGGGCTGAGACTGCTCAGCTCAGCTTGTCTTTGTGGCCTGTCTGAATTAATGCTATGATCAACTCAATGGTTTTAATATTTGATTAATCGATGTGTATTACAGTATCTTCTTTGGTATGGGAGATACGTTATCTTAAAACGGTACAAACCTTCTGGCCATTTCACTCAGAGCATTCACATTTCAGACATGTCACGTCATTCACTAACAAAAATGTATGTCCTGCCTCCACAACCTGATCTCACAGCATCAGTAACAAACCCTGCATGCACGAGTGCCGATGGATTAATGGATCTGAGGAGCAGATCTGTCATTGGTCGTCGTGGGACGAAGCTTTACCGTGGCGAATGGGTTTGTGCCTCTGAAATGAGAGGATGATGGAAAATGATATACAACACCACATACACTCAACTGCTTTCTGCCAATACCAATAAACCACTCAGACAGAGGTGCACACACTCTAGGTTTAGACACTAACATCACACCACAGCCTGAGGGTGGTACATTTTGACAGTGTGCAATGAGCACTCTGTGGAGGTCTTTGTTTCAAGTAAACTTTGATCGGGGTTTATTGTTTGCAGTGGGAATTGGGATTCAAAAAGATGTTTCTTGCAGATTCTCAAGTGTAATCTAGTTTTCTGGGAAGACAATTCATAGGATTCATATATATTGGATCATGGTATATTGGCAAAGCAGTGCTGCACTGGCATTTTTTTTTCCAGAACAATACATAACAATAATCCATAAATGCATACATAATCCATGTCTAATTACCTGGGAAACAGTGGGTTTTCAGGGGGTCCATGTGGTGATAATGCCTACAAAAAATACAAATAAATCAATAAATGAATACAAATCCACACTTAGCACTGAAGTGTTGCGTATTTTTCTGTGTTAAAGAGACAATTATAATTAAAGTTAAACATGTAGCACCTGGACGTCAGATGCTGATCTACCCTTTCTGTCAGGTAGGGGAGAAATGGGTCGAAAATCTCCTGAACTCCTCCTTGCACTCTGAATTGGTGGAGGGGGAGGCGGTGGGGGAGGAAGTGGATGTTCATTGTAGCTCCTTGTTTGACTCGGCTTCGTCTCCAACGCCTCTTCTCCCTTCTTCTCAGGGAGTGGAGAGATAGGCCTGAAGTCCACAGAGGCTCTACGATTGGGTGTGGCCGGGGGTGGGACGTCTCCGTAACTCTTGCTCTCTGACTGGTCGGCGTAGGTGTCACTGTCATTCAGATTGTTCATACTGTGACTTCTTAGAGAACTGCCACTGTTGGGGCAAAAGGAGCAGAATCTTTTAAGTGATTCATAGTGGGACAAATATCTGGAATATTTTACTAAAGGATAACAAAATAATAACATCTTCTCCCAGAGCAGCAACCTAAATATTCACATATCATACAGATTAGATCCTGTGGTTTGCCCCAATATCTTTTTTTTCTTGGTGTCCAGTGTCATGCCAGAGAAAGAACATTTTGGCATACAGATTTGAGATTAGTATCTGTCTCCTACCTTGTTGCTAAATTATTGGAGAAATCCTCAATAGGGGCCACGTACGCAGCAGGGAACCAGCCCTGACTGGAGGAGAAAAGACAGAAAATTAAACATCATGTGTCTTCCTGTCTTTACATAAATCAAAAAACTAATTCCAGCAACAGACTCTGTAATTCTCAGTCTTGTGTTTTTTTCAGCGCTCGTGTAGTCTCTCAACCAAACACAAGAGCAAACCTTTAAATCACAGGTTCTCAACCTTTTCCCACATAATAATCTTTTCCCTCATAATCCTAACACTGATGGTTAGATGGTTCGGGCTTAGCATCGCACGATGATGCGAACTAACCCAAAGCTGATAATCTGGGGAACCCTGAGGGAGATTTCATGAGAGACGGATGTGATGTGCCACAATCACATCAGAGTTTCTGTTTGTTTTACTGGTTTCTGGTCTTTTGAGTTACTATTATTTAGTTTTACAGTAATAATTGTAAAAAAATTTTAAATAGTATCATGAGCAAAACAAATTTGTGACTTGATCTAGGAGCTCAAAGTGGTAAAAGGTTGACATCTTTACCCTTTTATTGGAAAAACTCTGTGAGGGACTTTTTTTTATAAGGCCATCAATTTTAAGATTGGGTGCAGATGATAACTGAACACTGTAAAGACGGAGCATTTCAAAAACGGCGCATGCACGTAAATGTTTATTTCCCACCGCAGGCTGCTGTCAGTGCGCCCATACAGCCACCCGTTGCGTGGCTCCTGGACCAGGACGATGACAGTCTCCCCCCTGTTGAAAGGCAGGAGCTTTGGGTTGGATGAGGAGGGATGAGAAACCAGCGCTCTCATGACTCTCCCTCCTCCCAGGCCTAAAGATTCCCCCACTGAACTGGAGCGAGAGCGGCTGGGGAGGGGAGACGGTGCTGGAGGGAGAGGAAAGATGAAGGAGAAACAGAGAGGAGAAAAAGATTAAAAGAATATTAATAGGAATATTTTAGGCATGCATGAATGAATGCATATAAACAAGCAAATATTAATACTTCTAATCTTCTCTGGCATCAAAGGTTATCAAATAATCACATATTAATATACAGCTCTTATAATTAGAACAGCACACCTCCCACCTCTAGAAGGGACTCTGCCCAGTGCCTGCTGCTCCCGCCTGGCCCAGGACATATCCTCATCTCTGGCTACCGTCTGCAGCAGGGAGCTCACTGAACCTCGCAGCTAAGCAGACACAGAATACAGATCCCACTGATCGGATTTTTTTATTTGAAGTCTGGCATAGCAAGGTTTGCTTTCAGCAGGAATATTACGATTATAAATAAACAATCTGGTGCTGGTGCTCGATTTAGTGTCAAGATTTCTAAAGAACCACAGAGACTAATGCTGGAAAAACTAAACACCATGTTGTACAAATAAACCAAGCAAATATGTGCTTACACTCGCTGTGAAGCACTTCAGCTGTAGATGATGGATTAAGCAACCTTTACAGCACAAATAGTACATTATTAGCAGAGAACAGACACATGAGAATACAAATACAGCTGCTGAACTAGACTGGGGATGCTAGTAAACATAACAGATGCCACTTATTAAGTGAATTTAACATAAATTATTTTAAATAGACTTTGGTTTATTTATTGAACTATAAGAAAAATAAGACGGTGAGACTTGACTTGGTTTCTGTTCCTATGTTTCCACAAATTCAAACACAGCAGAGTGTGCAGTGTTTCGCTGAGAAACCACAGCCACTGTACCTTGTTTTATAGTGCGTGGCATACTCATGTGTAATGTTCCTACTGGCTAAAAAAAAATGAGTAAACCTGATAAAGTGCTGGTACCTGTGCCTCTTGGTCTGAATGGGTGGGTGTTCGAGATCTGGAGACTCTGGTGTCATTCACTTTCTCCTTCCATCCGTCTGCCTTCTGCTGGAGAGATGCACCAGTCTGAAAACGGATTAGAGGTGAGCGCCTCATTCCATCTCAGTTTGATCATTCAGCAACATGACTAGGCAAGGCAAGTTTATTTGTGTAGCACAATTCAACAACAAGGTGATTCAAAGTGCTTTACAGAGACATTAGAAACAAAAACAAATAAAAAGCATGATTTAAAATTGATTAAAAACTAACTAACTAACTAACAAACAAACAAAACAGTATATAAGATCAAAAATCAAAACAGATAAAATCAGAACAGTAGATAAAATCAGTAGTTAAAATGTAAGTTTTGAAATTTAAGCTTAAGTGTGGATTTGGTGCTTTATTCAAATGCAGCTGAGAACAGGTGAGTCTTCAACCTGGATTTAAATAAACTGAGTGTTTCAGCTGATCTGAGGCTTTCTGGGAGTTTGTTCCAGATATAAGGAGCATAAAAGCTGAATGCAGCTTCTCCGTGTCTGGTTCTGACTCTGGGAACTGATAAAAGACCGGATCCAGATGACCTGAGGGATCTGGAAGGTTCATACTGGGTCAGGAGGTCACTGATGTATTTTGATCCTAAACCATTCAGAGCTTTATAGACCAGCATCAGGACTTTAAAGTCTATCCTCTGACGGACAGGCAGCCAGTGTAAAGACCTCAGAGCTGGACTGATGTGGTCCACTTTTTTGGTCTTAGTGAGGACTCGAGCAGCAGTTCTGAATGAGCTGTAGTTGTCTGACTGATTTTTTTAGGTAGACCTGTAAAGACGCTGTTACAGTAGTCAAGCCTGCTAAAGATGAATGCATGGACTAGTTTTTCCAGGTCCTGTTGAGACATCAGATCTTTTATCCTTGAAATATTCTTGAGGTGATAGTAAGCTGATTTTGTTATTGTCTTAATGTGTTTTTCTAGGTTTAGGTCTAAGACATATTGCTTCAGTAAATAAGACACATGACACTGAGAAGTGAGTTTCATCAGATGAACAAGATATTGGCAAGGTCCCACACGACTGGGATAAAAAGGCTGGGCAGTTCAGTGTCTTGGTGGAAAAAGCACTCCAAGCTCATGGCTGATGGCTGCAGTCGGCCTTCCCTTCACAACATGATAGATTGCAGCTGATGTAGCTGATACACAGAATACTAAGCTCCATCTACTACCATGAAGTGGGAAATGCAGCTTATCAGTCAGGACAGTAATTATATATTCAAAATGTTACAAAAAATAGTTATTGTTCAGTGTACCGGCTATATTGAAGGCTGCAAAAGTTTTCTTTCAAAGGAAACTTGTATTACATAATAATACATTCATCAGCTTTTTTCTGATGAATGTAAAAGAAAATATAAATTAAGCAAAATTTTGTATTTCTGTATTATATCTAACATGTTTTTTGTTCCTTGTTTTGCAGAGCAGATTGTAGTGAGTATTTCTTTAAAAAGTATGTAATGTGCCTTTCAGCAGGTTACAAGGTTACTGGTGACTAAACTGACCCATCATCATGTCACCTAAAAATAAAAGATTTAAGGCCTTTACATACTGAACACGTAAAATTTTTGAAAATATTTCATATGTTAAACATTTTTTTTGGGACCCACCTATTAATGGAGCTTTTCACACCGACACCGTAATCTCCCAGGACAGATTTACAACATTTATTTTTCCTGCTTAAACTCGATTTTTCTGATTTCATTGCATTTGAATCAACAGATCTGACCAGTTACACCATTACATTTAGCAACAAGTGCACTTGTAGCTCAAAGAGCGCACTAGTACTGAATAAATTATGGCAAAAGTAAGATAATACCATTTTACCTTAATCTCACACAGATGCTGCTCAGGGTTAATCAACTCTACTGTGTAGGTTGGCCAGTGTGTATGAATACCTTGTTAATTAGGAACAGCAGTGACTGAGTGAGGCCACAGTGTTTCTCTGCCAAGAAGCGATACCTCCTCTCCTCCTCCTTTAAGATCTCCTGATGGCTCTGCCGCAGGTACAGCATGTATTCACTGTTCTCCTAAAACCGCACGCACAGGGAACAATGAACATGAGGGCATGCACCTACAATGATACACTCACAAGGTGTATTACTGGACTGTGTGTGTGTGTGTGTGTGTGTGTGTGTGTGTGTGTGTGTGTGTGTGTGTGTGTGTGT